AACTGATTATTTATGTGAAATTGAGCCACCAGGGCCAGTTTTATTGTTTTATTGATGCAGAAACATGTATGTATTTTACAGTATAGTAATATAAAACGCATTAACTAGCTTAGTTTAAGGTTATTTCAGAATTAACCCTCCTGAAATGGATTGACCAACAATCTTGAAAATTTTTTTGACCATTGGGAATTATAATACAGTAATAAGGTTTAACCCACGACTTAAACGTTAATATAACTATATTTTCTATTTCCTTTTTCGTTTTTTCTCCTTCTTATTCTTTCCTTTCTTTGACGTCTCACCACCTTCATCCTCTACAACCTCTTTTGTTTTCCGTTTTTTCACAACGTCATCCTCACTTTCATCGTCTCACATTACTTGATCGCTTCAAATTACGCTGTCCTGAAATCACCTTACTCCCTGACGCTTCCTCAGTTTTGTCGTCTCCCTCACTCTTTTCTGTTTTTCGTTTTTTCACATCTTTATTCTTTCCCTTCTCTGTCGTTTCCTCATTCTCATCATCTCCCGATATCGCATCACTATATCGTTTTTTCGCGCCTTTATTATTAATTTCCAAATCGATTTCTAATGCATATTGGGTTATTTTATTAATCCATCCCGGAATTTTTTTACAACCTTCGTCTTTAGTTGTCTTGTATTTTTGCTGGGGGAATGTTTCAAAAATGTCCGGTGGCACGACAAAGTATAGATTAAAGTTATTCACATCCTTTCTCCAAGCAAGTTTATCGTAAAGGTCCTTAAGTCCTTTTACCTATAAAACCAGTTAGTGATAAAGTGATAACTACAAGCTATAAATTCAATTATAACCATTGTCCCCTACCTTCGTACCGTGGTTCGTTGAGAGATAGTAATTTGGTACAAGTCCAAGGTTTCGTTATAGAATCTAAAAGAATCAATCGATGCAAATGTCTTGGACTTTGGTCTGTTATAACATTCCTTAAGCGCTTCATTCAGTGTCATGAACCAGTTACAATTCATCTTATTGATTTCTATTTCGTTTATTTCGTTTATAGAGTCATTACTCAGGCATCGCACCCTAAACTTACCACCTCTTTGTAATTCACGATGGGCATAATCTTCGAAGAGATTGCCTCGAAATGTAGCGGTCGTTGCATCTCCACAATTGCTTGCGATGAAATCGCGAACGCTTTTCCTTGTTTTAGTTTGATATGCCTTGATCAATTCGTCAAATACCATCGGAGAAGCAAAGCGATACACAGCTTCCGTAAAGTTTGAGTTTACATCGAGATGTACGAGTCTGCCACTAATTGCATATTTAGGCATTCCCTCTTTATCAATAGATTCCATACATTCGTCTAATCTGGCCTGAGAAACCAAAAATTTGTAACCATTCTGATATCCCTCATCGTCCCACTTTGAAAGAACTGATCTGGGTATTGGTCCCCACCTCTCTAACAAAGACCCGAATAATTCAAATGTGAACTCTTCGCCTTTGTAATTTTTATTGTTCTTGTATAAAAGGGTCCAAAGTGTAATTATTTCATCGTGTTCCCAAATTGGCATGAAATATTTGGTAAAACCTGTCCTTTTGACAGCTTCATTGAATCTTTCTCCGTTGGGTGATGTGAGCAGGATTGTATAGGCATCATAATTAGATGTCAGTTCTTGTGCATCAACTAGAAAGAAGTTATTTGAATTCTCCAGCATCGTGTCGAACTGGTAAATATTCCCTTTTTGCACATTACCGTCAGATGAGAATTGATAGCACATTTCTTTGTCATATTGCCAGATTATTGTAGCATCAGGGTAATTGTAGCGAATATAAAAGAGGAGATATAGACCAAAGTATGTCTTTCCGATACCAGGAGTACCAGTGATCGCGCAACCAGCCCGGGCTGGACCCTTTGATTTGCGATTCGTTTCAATCAATTCAAATAAATGCAGATAACAGTTCCGTATAAGAAGTTTCGATCCATTAACCTCATTCCCTAAAAAGAACGCACCATCCGGTAGACATAGCATCCCTACAAAGTCATTCATTAGTATTGATGGCAATATCACATCTGTTTTTTTCCCATTGTTGTATAGCATGCCACCTGAATTGGGAATCACACCTTTATTTAGGCAAATCTGATTATCTTTAATCGTAAAGTAAGATTTCAGAGCATTTAATTCAGCTTCGTCCATATCTCGTGGTATTGGGAAGATTATTCTTGCGTCGGGAAGTTTCTTCCAAAATTCAATAACACTGGCTTTAACTGTGAAATAATACAATAGAAAAAATAAGGGCATAGTTAGTCATTACTTTAGCACAAAAAATAATGCCTTTAGTGAGTAAGCACCAAACCTTGAAATTTTTTCTCTGTATAATAAATCTCTATATAACAAGAATAAGTGTATGAGGCCCAAGTTAATAAATGAAATTATTGCGGAGAAAGCAGTATAGGTTTGGAATATTCGAATGCAGTCGTGGTACTACTTACCCTGTCCTTCGCCCTTAATTTTATTAATAAACTCTGCAATTTCTTCGGCTGGTCCTCGTTGTAAACCATCTTGCATTAGTTTATCCACATTTAACATAAGAAAACGCCGACCTGTAATTTTTTGTTTTTCTAAAATTTTGAAATCATCTTTGTCAAGTTCTAAGTCTTGATTGCGTAAAAAACGTATAAAATCCTCCGTTTTCTTATAACTTTTAACTTCATCGATTGCAGGAAGTGAAATTGTTTTTCCGGTAGAAGTAGACATATTCACGTATTTAGTTTTTTGTATAGGACGAAAAAATTTTTTTAGTAAGAAATAGTCGTACATTCTACCTTTTTATAGTTTATACAAACAATCAGATTGTCGTACAACAGGTCACGTATTGTTACACGATAAAATGGCAATACCGGTATTGTATTTTTCCGTAGTGACGGAAATTTATTTTTATTATTGTTATTAATTATTCGAGGATATAATAGATGAGTTAGGAACTTGAAACTATTATGAAATAGTGAAGCTTTTACTTAGCGCTTCTTTCCTTAAAAAATTATCACATTCACATCGTTTATATATCCTATCTGCTACCTTTTTGCATGTTTTGCAATATAGGTGTGAATGGTGATTGCATTCGTCACAAACTCTTTTTTCGAATATAAAAGAAAAAAGTTATATATCACAGAAAAAGAAAAATATATTTATTTGGATATGAAATTGTGGGCGAACTGCCATCATATAAAATAAAAAATTTTAAGCAACGTATTTGAGAAAAATGAGTAAATATGGCATCTATTTCATCTTGGCTAACAGAGTTTGGAAGTTGTGATCTAATTTCTTTATTAATTAATGCCTGAGCCGTTGACTTAGGATTACTATAAAAAATAATCATACTTATTCTCAAGTGCTTTACTGTGAAGTTAATAGCTAGTTATAACTTCCTGATTTATAATTTTATTTTTAGTTTCTGAATAAGTTGTATTATTGATCTCTAAAGAAATCTTGATATTTCGGCTGTAATTAGAAATAATACCAATTCCACATCCAATATTAACATATTAACCTGGTCGATGGGAGAGTAATTTCTTTTATTATTAATGAGAAGAGAAAATGAGCTTCCCATTTAATACTGAGTTATGGGTAATTCTGAAGATTGCACTAATTTGTTATTGGTCGCCACTAATTTTTTCATTATTTCTGTTTCACTCTCAAGATACATAATTTCTTCCCATTTTTTCTGATTAGGCTTAAGGATTTGGATCTGAGTGATTAATTTTATAATTGGTTGAAAAATAATGCATAAGTTATCTTCATTATTATTAGTTGCGGTGATTGAACAAAATTTCTAATAAAGATGGATAATGATGTACAAAATTTATTAAAATTGCTCAATAAATTCCATTATACCTTAGCATGCTGTGAAAGTATGACTGGGGGAAAATTTGCTTCTATACTCACTAAATCACCTGGGGCTGGTAGAATTTTTAAAGGAGGTTTTATTGTTTACACTAATGAAGCAAAAAAGAAGTTAGCAAAAATTTCTCCATATATATTAAATAAGTATGGAGCAATTAGTGCAGAATGCGCCATAAAAATGGCCCAAAGATTTTACATACTAATTTGGCGATCAGTTTTACTGGTAATGCGGGGCCAACTGCTCAAGAAAATAAATCTGTTGGACAAATTTATATTGGGATTTCCAGTGATTATTCTTCTTTCAGTAAGGATTACCATTTTAATGGCTCTCGCTCTGAAATTGTACAGCAGGCTATTAAGACGGGCATACAATTACTTATTAATGCAGTTAAGAAATTCTCAGACGATAAATTAATCGATAATAACCACTTACTCTCACGAATCTCGAAACGGGAGCATAATAATTAACATATCCCACATAGAATTCTGCAGTCCAGCTTTCGAATTAGTATCGATGAAAAATTTATTCTATATTCAATCGTAACTCATCATTTAGGTCTATCTCTATCCTTAAATATTTCAGATATATGGGAGGGACGTCTTTGGAAATAAATTTTTTCCGGATTGCAGAATTTTATCGGATGTTTTGGATGAAATTGAAACTTCTATCATATGTTGTCAAAATTTCAGCTCACTAAAGAAATATTGTTGATTGGATATTTTTTCGTATCTTGTGATGAGAATCGACAAAAAATGACTTAGATTAGACTATTTTAGGTATGGAGACAAAAGTGGTCAGTAAATAGAAAATTTTGGTAACTTTTTCTGTCTTTGAATAGTGAAATCTAGTTTGTAAAGAAAAAATAGATCACTTTATTAATCTAACATATATGCAGGTGGTGAGAAAAATTGAGCAAAGCACAATAAGAATTCAGCACTGTATGGAGATTGAAATTCATCTAGTTAGTTCATTAGATGAAGATGCCCCCAAGCTTAGATTCTTTTCTCCCATCTTGATAATTGAGTGAATGGGAAAAGTAGGCACACCAAACAAGGCTCTTAATTTAGCGTACACAAAGACTTTGTCTATCTTTAGAAGGTTCGGTTTCTTAATACGTTATGATAACTACTCTGAGATTTCTTTTCACCCTATCTTATCAGCTACGATTAAAGGTTTTTATATTATTCAAAGGAAAATTGTAGGGAGAAGGGAGTTATATTGTATATTAGAAGAGGTAGTAGTAGGTATTGATAGAAGGTTGAGAAGTGTTG